ATCACCAAGTGCAATGCAAAGCGTCGGATGCGGTGGTGTAAAGCACGCCGCCACTGGACTCTAGAGCAGTGGAGACGCGTTCTCTGGAGTGACGAATCGCGCTTCTCCATCTGGCAATCTGATGGACGGGTCTGGGTTTGGCGGTTGCCAGGAGAACGGTACTTGTCTGACTGCATTGTGCCAAGTGTAAAGTTTGGTGGAGGGGGGATTATGGTGTGGGGTTGTTTTTCAGGAGCTGGGCTTGGCCCCTTAGTTCCAGTGAAAGGAACTCTGAATGCTTCAGCATACCAAGACATTTTGGACAATTCCATGCTCCCAACTTTGTGGGAACAGTTTGGAGCTGGCCCCTTCCTCTTCCTACATGACTGTGCACCAGTGCACAAAGCAAGGTCCATAAAGACATGGATGACAGAGTCTGGTGTGGATGAACTTGACTGGCCTGCACAGAGTCCTGACCTCAACCCGATAGAACACCTTTGGGATGAATTAGAGCGGAGACTGAGAGCCAGGCCTTCTCGTCCAACATCAGTGTGCGACCTCACAAATGCGCTTCTGGAAGAATGGTCAAAAATTCCCATAAACACACTCCTAAACCTTGTGGACAGCCTTCCCAGAAGAGTTGAAGCTGTTCTAGCTGCAAAGGGTGGACCGACGTCATATTGAACCCTATGGATTAGGAACGGGATGTCACTTAAGCTCATATGTGAGTCAAGGCAGGTGAGCAAATACTTTTGGCAATATAGTGTATATATATATATGTTCCGAATTGGTCCATAGATAAACTGAATTGAATTCTTCAGAACCTCACACCTGGTTTGGTCATTTTTTCCTTCCAGACATCCAATTCTTCTTTTTTTGGCACAACTTGGTAAGTCTTGGATCTTTTTTAAGTGATTGCTAGGTGTGTATTTCTATACTAATCCTGAAAAAATAAAATCTTCATCCCCTGGATGGACAAAAATGTATGATTATTCGGCTCCTCGAAAACCTCTCTCAAGTGATGAGGCTGAGCTGGGGTAGCAGGGCTTCATCGTCTGTGATAAGGAATCTAGGTAGTGCCAAGATGCAAAACCTCGTGCCTTTTAACCTGTTACACAAACAAAGAACCCATCTCTTTGGCCTATAAGATGCAACATGTCCATGTAAGGGTCTGAGGGTGATCACCTCATCGTCCAAGCCATACAGACCACATATGGTTTGTCAGACATCCAGAAGCCAGTTCAGTCTATCTATATTTCCTAATTCTTCCCTTCACGTATGAACAGTCTAACCATCTTTAACAATTATTGTGTCTTCATAGAATCAGCTCCTTCATTATCACTCTTTATAAACACACATCACATATTTAATACACATAGCAGTGAGTTTTTTACGTTCCTTCTGGAATATACCTACACCTTTTGAACATTTTCTATGTGGCTGCTTTTCATAACTTATTTGTCATGTACTTCTGCTTTCCATAAAACTTTCATTATTTATTCTTAATACAAAAACAACACGACTTCATCTTGTTACATTTCACACACTGATATAACAGAATCATTTTTCAAGTACTTAGTTTTGTCATAGGTACATATCGTCAAAACAATGTGGGATCAAACACTTACACAATTGTTTAACTCATGCGAAAATGAGGCCGCTTCCTTAATTTGTCACTTAGTCTTTTTAAATTACTTTTTAAATCTAATTTTTATTATAGGTCCACAGCACAGCAGAACTACACACTTCATTTACTCCATAATGGTGTAGCCAACTTTCAGTTGTACAAAAATGCTGAAATGCTCTGCTCCTTCTTTTATACTGCCAGGTTACATGGAATACCATATACTGTACATATTACAGATATACTACAGATAATTCTGGTTTGATTACATTGTTACATACTGTAAGGACAGAATCACAGAAGCAAATCAAACTGCTTCACATTTACTAGTCTTTGGAAGCGCTGCTGTGACAGGGGTGATGCATCACTTCCTCATTTACTCCAGACAGTCAGTTGTGGTGTTTAATGTTAATACTTTACTTTACTCTTTAATTATAAGGATTGCTTCGATAGTTTTTTGGGGGGAAACAAGATTGAATTCACCTCACATGACACTATCTGTTGCTTTGAGCTTAGTTGGTTGTAATGTAAATCAAATCGTTATGATTCACAAGAACATGGAAGCCATAATTTTATACTAGGAACATGTCACCCTACAAATTGGGAGTTTAATTAATATTCTAAATGATTGAGGACATCACAAAGGAAGAACAGAAAAACATAATCCAGCATGTGCACACAGTTTGTTTGAAGTCTGTCCTGAGGCACATTTTCACATCAAATAATATAATATAATTCATGTAATATAATAAGAGCATGTGCCAAAGCTTTCATGGTGATGACATCAACAGCCTGACTGAATGTATCACTGACTACATGACCTTCTGTGTGGAGAGTACTGTGCCCACACAATGGCTACAGATCTTTTCAAACAACCATCCCTGGGTGACTTTCGGAGCCTCTTGAACCAAAAGAAAAAGGCTTTCAACTCAACGAACAGAAAAGAGCAGCGTTGAGTTCAGTGAGAGCTCCAATGGAGGATCAGGGCAGCTAAAGGAATGGTTATACTCCTGCAGCAATGTGTCGCAGTGAGCTTGACGCAGACAATTTTTTATTTATGCTTAATATTAATGTGTGGTCTGTGCTATACACTGTGGGTCTACATACGGCCGAGAGGAGGTGGGGGTGAGTTTAGTTTAGGGACATGACGCAGAAAAAGAGCTGGGATCCAAGTGGGAAAAGGGTCCCAGCGTTCTAGCGCACCTCAATCTTCTAGCTGGTCAAACTTCACGAGTTGTTTTCCGCAATCCTGTTAATAAAAACAAAACAAGCAGGCAGGACACTGTCTGCTGTCAGTTACAATTTGGGAAAGGTGCAGTAGAGTGTCTGCGGAGGGGGTGTGGATGGATTTTTGTTCACTGCAACATCTCCAGCTTTGGGCAGAAGACTAGCAGCAGGGCTGCAGACAGTGACATCTCCTCACACGTTTCCAACCTCTTGGGCACCAGAGACCTACCCTCCCCCCAACCTCCAATCTCACCAACCTCCGATCCACTGACACCCTCTGTCCTGAATCAGAGGAAAGCCTCAGGACCGGACGGCATCGCCCCAAGGCTGCTGAGGAACTGTGCTGATGAGCTCTGCGAGGTCCTCAGCTACATCTACAACCTAAGCCTCAGCCTCGCCACTCTCTGGAAAACCTCCTGTGTGGAACCGGTTCCCAAAACGCAGCATGCCAAAGAATCGGCCCACTTTCGACTAGTCACGCTAACCTCCCACCTGATGAAGACAAAGTAGCGCCTCATCCTAGCTCACCTGCACACCGTGCAGCCCCCTCCAGGACCCGTTGCAATTTACTGACTGACCTGACTTTGGAGTGGAGTGCCATCATCTACCTGCTGCAGCGGGCGCCCAACCTACCTGGAGACAATGAGGAGTACAGTGAGAGTAATTTTCTTTGACTTTTCCAGTGCTTTCAACACCATCAGGCCAGAGCTGCTGAGGGGGAAGCGGCCGCAAGGCTGTCAGTCAGATCTGCAGTACTGGGGCCCCCCAGGGTACTGTTCTGTCTATGTTCCTCTTCAAACGGACAGCTGCAATCTCCAGAAGTTCTCAGATGACTCGACCATTGTATGCTGTGTTTCTAAGTGGAATGAGCCTGAGTATCTATCAGTCATCATGAACTTTGTGGACTGGAGTGAGAGAAACCACCTGTGTCTTAACACCAATAGGGAGAAGGAGATCGTGATCGACTTCAGGAGAAGACCCCCACCCGCTGCAGCAGAGTGTAGAGATGCTGAGTTGCTTCTTTAGTAACAAACTTATACACCCTGTTTGTAAAAACGAGCGCTTCCGCAAGTCATTCATCTCTGCTGCCACCAGACTCTACAATGTGACACTACAACAGCAATAACTTGTGCAATATATAATCTGCAATTACTAATTAATATCATGCATCTTCATATATCTTCATTATTATTTATTGATACCCAGTGCATGTAAATACAATGTGCAATAACCCTGTGCATTAATCCTGCTAAATAACAGACTTCATCTGTCATTATATATATATATATATATATATATATATATATATATATATATATATATATATATATATATATATATATATATATATATATATATATATATACATATATATATATATATATATATATATATATATATATATATATATATATATATATATATATATCTTCAGGGCCAGATTCTTCTAGCCTGTGGTAAGAGTTCTCTAGCATACCTCTGTGTCTGAGCCTGCCTGTCCTTCTTCTGATCTGTTTGTCTGACTAGCATCCATCTATCTTCTTTCCTTTATTCCATTAGGGTAACAGTGGGGCCAGTGGCAGGCCCTGGACAGGTCAATAGTCCGCCGCAGGGCAAAAGAGAGACACACAAAGACATACAACTATGCAAACACATTTACACCAATTAACAGTTAGATTCACTTTATTTTTGTTTTTGTTGTTTGCAAGGTTTCCAACTTGTTGATGCCATTCCTGATGATGATCTTTAAAATAAATTAATCAAGATTATTTAACATTCATCCACTCTACTTTCTTTTTAATTCCATCAAGTTGGATAAGCATTGATATATAAGGACTTGACAGGATGCCTGCCCTAATTACCAACATAAGCTTCAGAGTTTTAGAATAGCAGCAGATGAAACAGACCTTAAAAAGTAGACCGGTAATAATCAACAGCTTGGAAGTAATCATCAACAGCATTAAGTGTCAACTTCTTATTTCATTATTCTAAATAGGAGAAAATATTTCCAGAATCAAAAAAGGTTTGTAAGACTTGTTGTAGATGGAGAATGAGTAACCACCTCTAAAAAAGAAAATAGTAGCCTTGCAGTGTGAGTCTGATTTATTCCTATTATCATGGTTGCTCTCTTGTTGAACAAAATCAGTCTTTAGCTTCTATTTTGATTTACATGGTGTTTTAGTATTCTTCTGGGCATTCTTCAATTGCAGCATTATATATTTGTTTTCACTTTTAAATCTCTGATACTGTGTGTTTTGTACAGGTTTTAGACTGCTGCTAGTTTAACTACCTGTTTAACCCTAACTTCCAGTTAGTGTAATTAAAATAAACCGTAGTGTATCGCCATCTACTGGGGTTTAAAAACATTCCTCTAACAGGATGAAATTAGATTACATTATGTTATTAGGAATAGATAGGATAGATATTCTCAGCGGTAGAACATCAGGACAGCAGACTCAGTAATTTCCTTAGAGGCGCTCCAGTCTTTATTCGTTCCAACTCCATCCCAGTCATATCCTGTAAAATCTCCACACTGATTGGGGGATTCAGGGAAAAACCCTCCTCCTCCTATGCAATACTGGACAAACAAACAGAATTGTTATACTTTTATCATCTGATGAACAGACATATTGAAGTCATCCAGACTTACATGTTCACAGTGGCACCCTGTAGGTTTGACCCCAGAGCAGATCGCCATGGCTGCTCTTTCATGGTTTATGGCTCTGAAAGTGATGAAGCCTGGATCAAACTCATCTTTTTTGTTGAAGAGAGGAAAAAATACAACAGTTAAAGTGTTGTACTTCAATTACGGTAAATGGTAAAAAAGAATAAAAATGTAAACATTTTTTTCTAATTACTTCTTGAATTTGGTCCATATAACAATCTGGTGGACTCCCTGTCTCCATGGTCATACACAATGGGAACTGCTGGTCCTCTATTTGTGCAGGACCCAATGTTGTACCTTACTGGAAATTGCTGCAAGAATGTGACATTTTGTCATTAATGTATTTAGATCAATAGGTCTGTGTAAGGATTCTTAATATAATGTATTTTCATTTACAATCAGGAACAATGTTTTGGTTGTTCTGCCTTACCTTAAACAAGTTAAAAAGGTTTCCCCCATGAAGTTGAAGGAAGTTGTTTTCAGTGTGGTAGCGGAGAATGGATGCCAGTTTCCAGTGCTCCATTGGGGAGTTGTTGGGAACGTGCCACACAGTCATGTCTTGTGCAACAATATCATAATATCCTGGATTCTGAAAACAGAAACTGTGTTTATGATCATGGTTTGGATTATCTTACTGGATGCAACAACATAAATTACTGTTTTATTGTAAAGAAGCACAACGAAAGAGGTATTTATCGGGAAAGAAATTTGAAATTGGAAGTGTGGCATTTGTTTATCCTCTTTTACTCCAACACCCCTGAATAAAGTCTAATCGAATCAGATATTTTATAGAATCCACCTTTCTAATGTTATGTCACTATCTGCATTCTTTTTTATGAAAGCTTTAGAGAATTACAGGGACATTAAAAACAAAACTCTCACATGTTTAACAAAGTTCAACATATGAAGTAGAGTGCTATGCTGAGGAAAAAGAGCTTTTTTTTGGTGTCATGTACAATTCTATGCATTATGGAAAAATAACCTTGTATTCCATGCAGAGAATCGTTGTTGGGGCAGCATCATTCTATGGGGAACCACGCATACCCATCAAAATAATGGCACAGTGAGAGTCCAGTTTTGAAAAGAGGTGTTTAAAGACAGTCTTCTTTTAAAGAGACTGTTTAAAGCAGGGGTCTCCAAACTTTTTCCCTTCGAACTACCTAATTTAACAAAAATAACCATGAGCTACTCGGGTTCACAAAAAATTATTTTGTTGCTGTTTTCTCCTCAATCAAATATATTTAGTATTTTTCTGAATTTATGACCACAAAACAAATTGTGAACATAAAATATATCAGAACATACAATTTTTTAAGTGTTTTGAAAAGATTGATTTGAAAGTTATCCACATGTTACCCTCTGACATCACAACCCAGAAAACAATGATGTGTAGTGTAGCTACTCAGGTTGACTGATAGACTTATTCAATTGTTCATCATTCATGACATTCATGCAAGGAAAATCTCACTCACAGGTAAGAAGAGCAAAATAGAGCAAACATTTTCAATGCCATCTCATTAAGATTTTTAAATGTGAATATTGCTGGGACTTAAGATGAACATTAGTTTGAATATTGATGATTTCTATTTCCTCTTCCACAGGATCAAAATAATTCAGCCATCTGACCTGAAATCTCACTTATACCCACATCCATGAATGGATTTGCCATAAATGTCACACAAGGCTGCAGCCTGTCAAAATCACTATATCTGTCTGAAAAATCTTGCCCAAGCTTTGCTATAACTTCACAATATTTATTGGCATTGAAAGCACTGGCTGCACCTGGGTTACTCACAAACATGTTCTACAGCCTTGTAACTGCATGGTTAGTTCCTTGATTTTATCTGTCACATCAATGAAAGGCAAGCTCAAGAAGCCAATATCAAGCCCATAGTCTCGGATTTGGACGCAGTGATCCTCATCCCAGCCGCTTCACACTCCTTTCTCAAGCTACTTAAAACTGGGATACCGGTAGCTCTCGAGTAATAGGTGGGAGACCCCTTGTTTAAAGCATTTCTTTAAAAACTCCTAGATGGCACAATTTACCAAACACTTTTAAGATTTTTTATTTTTTTTCTGCTAGTTAAAACAAAATGCATTGCTATGGGCTTGGATGACTGTCATGTTTTCTCTTTATTATCTGAGGTTTAATTCTTTTAAATGTCAGTTAAATGGTAACAAGAGTCTAAACAATACAGGGGAATCTAACTCAAGTCAGGTTTAGAAAGAAAATCCCACTCACTGTGACAATCCACCCCAAATGAGAGACCAGATTATGTTGAATATATCAAACATGCTTTCCAAAGTACCTGTTTTCCAGATTGCCCTGCATACCTTGTAATCATCAGACGTGGCGCTCTCTACTAGACCAAAGGTGTTTCTGTTGGACCAGTTTCCATCACCATCTGGCAGGTTTGGATTGTTTCCCTGCTGACTTGACCATCGATCCCCCACACTGCATTTTCCAATCATGTTGTTTTCATGAACACTGGCCACCAGAGTCCAGCCACCTCCAGCAGTGTTCATGTCACAGAAAGTCTGATACTTCATCCCATTATTAGTGGTCAGGTAGTATATCCCATCTGGAGACATTTCACTAAATTAGACCCAATGACTCATGAATACAGAGATTTTCTTATTTGTGGCTTTGGCTTACTGCTTGTAAATAGATATGGATATTACTGAATCATACATTAATTGCATTAATCTATTTGTTCCTTATCAGTGCATAAGAATACCTATCTGTTTAAAGTTCTGTACAGAAGAAAATATTATCGTCTAAAGCATGCCTACCTTCTCGTTCACCATATTTATTCAAGATTTCCTTACAGCTCCGGGCAGTGTATTTGAATCTGTCACCCACTCTCGATAAGTGTTCAGAATCTGCCTGGGTGATGATCTCAAAGTAATTCTCAGTTTGTCCTTAAAGTACAATCAGATTTGAAAAGACATACAGGAAAACATTCAAGAGCAAATATATATATATATATATATATATATATATATATATATATCTGAAAGCAAAATTTACCTTCTGGTGGTAAGACAGAAGGGGATGCATGCCTGAAGATCAGAAAAATCCCCCAAAACACAAGTTTATGGCTCAGCATTTCTGTAACATAGAGTGATTAGATTTTTAAGAAAAGCTACTTTTATTTTTAAAAATCTAGATTAACATCATAGTTTAATTTTCAAACCGGACAGCAGGCTAATAGTTATTTTAAATTCAAGTTTAAAGAATTATACCCCTTTACCGCTTATTCACATCCCATAAAAAACTACTTAAACTTACTTCTCAGTCTGATGAAGAAATATTTTCAGTCCTAGGACATCTCAAACAAATATGGGTGGTTATATGTACAATCATTAACTTTTGTACTGTGAGTAGTGAGCTTTGGGTCAATAGCCCTTTTACCTCCTCTGTTTTTTGGCAGCAGTTACTAAAGTAAAACAAAACAGATCAGGAGACAACTTTATTTTAGTTTTCCAATGTCTTCTGTGATCTTGTTTTCTCTAAATATTTTCCTGGTTCATTCAATGATGTATCCACTTCTTTCCTATATTACTTTCACTATCTACTTTAAATGGTTACGTTACCAGCAAGGGATGAGTGAATGAAAATCCATATTTGTGATTAGTTTCATTATCATTATTTATTTCACAAATACTTTATTGATCTCAAAGGACAGCTAAATGTCTATGTAACTCATGTTTTCAATGAGTTTTTGTATTTGTCTCGATAATTCTTTTAGTGTCTAAAAGCCTTTATTTTTATTTTTTAATTTTTCCTAAAACTGTCAGACAGGTAATGAGATTAGAGAGAGGGGGAAGATATGCAGAAAAGGTCACCTGGCAGGGATTCCAACCTGTAATGGTGGGTTTTAGGACTAGGCCTCTGCACACGGGGACACGTCCTTACCCCTGCACCACCGCTGCATGCAAGTTGTTGTATTTGTCAATAGCTGTAGGCAGGGAGGATATTCAGTAGCAGTTTGTCTTGCCGCAGATCTGGTGAAGCCTTTGAATGAAGTCTTCTTAGGAGGATGGTTTCTGTAACTAGATTTTTGTAGAGTACCATTCAAAGTACTCAAAAGAAGCAACAGCCACCTTCAAAATACCGTATTTTCACGACTATAAGGCGCACTTAAACGTCTTTTTTTTTCCTCAAAATGTGCGGTGCGCCCTATGGTGCGGTGCGCCCTATGTGTGTTGTAACTGCGACTTTTGAGGCCACCTCATTGAGGAGATGATGAAAGAGTGGCTGAATGTAAGGAGACCAGGTGTTTTTTTTCCACCCCTCACAATCGCTGTTAATATGTAACTCCATGCGTGCCCATCTCACAGCTGATGTGAAAAACATGGGGAAACAAATTAACGCTGTGCTCGCTGTTCAACCGCTCGACATCGGTGTGAACCGGACCCAGCAGGTGCAGCAGAAGCAGCGAGTTTACATGCAAAGTCAATGGTTGACGCGCGTATAGGTGCAGCAAAAGGTCCTGCAGCGCGTTTTGGTGCAGCACGTCGGGAGCGTTTAAGCATCTGAAGCGCCGCCAACGCGCTGCTGCAGCTCGAGATGGAAAAATTGAAGTTTTGCTGCTGGACGCGCCGCATCAACCAATCAGAGAAGCTGATCTGGGAGCTGACAGCGAGACAGACACAGCGCTCTGATGACATATGATATTAAATGAAAAAGGCTGGGTGGATGCGTGGCTGAGAAGACTAGGTGTTTTTTTCCACGCATCACCATTGCTGCGTGCCCATCTCACAGCCGATGTGAAAAAAAGGTGAATCAAATGAACGCTGTGCTCGCCGTTATCCCGGGAGGTCTGACAAAGGAACTTCCACCGCTCGACATCGGTGTGAAGCGGCCCTTCAAAGTAAGGCTGCGAGCGGTGTGGGAGCGATGGATGACAGACGGAGACCACAGTTTCAGGATAAGTGGAAGGCAGCGCCGGGCAAGTTACGCCACCGTTTGCGGATGGATTGTAGATGGACTAACGTGTCTGCTGGCTCTGTTGTTCAAGCTTTTGCAAAAGCCGGCATTATTTCTGAGGAGCTGCGCTGCACGGAAAGTGACTCTGACAGCGCAGAAGGGGAAACTGGCATGTCTGATTTAGCGCAGCTGTTTAATTCAGAAACAGGATGATGACTTTGATGGGTTTGATTAATACTTTGTAATAAATACATGAATAAAGCACAATCATACTCAGTTTTGCTCCCGCTGTATTTTTCTCCCTGAAAACTTAATTCAACAGCAGCCTCTGGGCGCGTCTCCTCCTCTTCAGCGCGGTGGCTGGCAGGTGTTTTTACATCTAAATAATCTAAATCTTGCAGCTATATTTGCTGTGATCAGTGGGAATAAAGTAGTTTTAATATGTTTTTAAGTGAGAAAGTCCACCTGAAAACTTAATAATTGCAGTCAGTTCATCCAGATTATCTATTTCTGTCGGAGCCGCTCAGACCCCCACATACCAGCGGTGCACCAACAGTAAATCCCTTCAACAGCAGCCTCACCGCGGCTGCTGGCAGGTGTTTTTCATCTAAATAATTTCAACTGCAGGCACCAGGATACCGGCAATAAAAGCGAACATATTCCGTCGGCAGGTTTCAGGATTTTAAGTTAATTTAGGAGTGATCACAGCGCTGTGTCATCTGCGATGTGTCTGTCTCACGGCCAGCTGCCAGGTTTGATTGATACTTTGTAATAAATACATGAATAAAGCACAATCATACTCAGTTTTGCCCCCGCTGTATTTTTAAATACGCAGTAGAGCTATTTAAAGGTAGTAGAGGACATGTACCTGTATATAAAAAACGCGCCCTATAGTCCGGTGCGCCTTATGTGTGTGTTAAATACAGAAATGGGACACATAACTGAGAGTGCGCCTTTTAGTCCGGTGCGCCTTATGGTCGTGAAAATACGGTACTTGAGTAAAAGTAAAAAGCAGCATTCCAATGAAGTACTTCAGTTAGACTAGTATCTTATAAAAAGGCTACTTAAGTACTAACAGTGTTACTGTTTAAAATGACATACGTTTGACATTCAATAATATAAAGCTGCATACAAATTCATTTTTAAGGCTAAAAAATGCAATGAATATAAATAACAACATTGGAAAAAAGAATTCAGGCAGAAGAAACAAAATCCAACCAAACCGTTTCTTAAGGCATATAAAGTAAGATGGAACCTCCACTGACAATATACAGTGTTTGATAGTGTTACCTAGACCTCCATGTCATAGATGTCTCAGACGATAAAGGTAAGAATAAAACAACACAGATAAAAGTGTATAAAAGAGAATGCTAGTTTTGGTGAAATTAAGCTGTCTGCTTCTCTTTTGTATTTTAGATTAAAATGTGCATAACTTATTCTTTAGTAAAGTTAGCTACAGTGGATAGAGCAGCCAAAGATTTTACTCAAGTAAGAGAAGATTGATATTACATAGGTTATAGTAACAAGTATGGTGCAGAAAAACTACTCCTTAAAGTACATTTTATCAAAAAGTTACCAAAGTAAGAGTACTTGAGTAAATGTAACTAGTTACTACCCACCTCTGATTGTTGTTGTTGTCTATAATGTTCTTAGTTTCATTATGAATTTTTCTTTGTAAAATCCTCTAAAGGGGTTATAAAGGGATTCTTAGAAGATAACCAGTTTTCTTTTCAGACTTTTGGAGATTTTTTGGTCATTTACTCAGCTTTCCAACAGTAAATGAGCAGCAGCTTAGGAGTAAAAAAAAACATTTCCATTTATAAATTGCAGTAGTGATCAAATGTAAACAGTGTAGAAGAGACATGGTGCAAAAAGGCATTGATGTGGAAGTTCAGAGCAGTGCAAAATAAATAATATATATAGTGCAAAAATGCAGTAGAAGACGCAAAGAGAGTCCCGATTTGTGACTTGGCTTAGAGTTATTTTCAACAGTTCAACAGTCTGATGTCAGTGGGGAAAAAGCTGTTACAGAACCTGCTGGTCCTGCATGCTGCAAAGCCTCTTCCCAGAGGGCAACAGGGAGAACAGTCCATGGTGGGGGTGTGAGGGATCCTTGATAATGTTACAGACTCGGGATGAAATGTCTTATGGAGGGAAGAAGAGCCCCAATGATCCTCTCTGCTGTTGTCACACCCACCCATGCTGCAGGATGAACATTGATGTATGACCAAAGGCTAAGCGGACTTGATGGCTGAGTTCAGAACCCAGTTGCTGCAAAACAGACAAATTTGCGTAACATATCTCTTAGTTTCAGGAACTTTCAGTTGCTTGAAGAGGCTGAAGGTATGAAACCCCTGAGAACAAAGAACTTCCCTGCTATGAGCCTGCCACTCAATGCTGCTAATACTGAAAAAACCCAGCTCTGCCAAAATGGAGATAATCAGAGGTAGTGGTCAGGCACATTTAGGGTAAGGTTTTCCAGCTTAATAAATTGTCTGATGATTTTTTATAATTTCATGTATTTACTGTTGTGTAAGTAAATTTGAAGGGGAACACCGGTTTTTTTACATTGGGCCCTTGATTTTACATCATGTTCTACTCACACATGAGTTCTGTGTCATATGGAGCTGTTCCGAAGATATTCAGTTTTGTTAAATCCAAGTTACGTCTTCCTATGGGCAACGAGTTGAAGGCACAAACTAAACTGTTCATAATTTATCATTTATGGTACATCAGCATTCATAACATGTAGGCGAATCATTGTCCCCCAGACATCTGTGGTTATATTTTTTATATTTATATTTTTTAACACAAAGTGGAGTGTGTATGACGTCATCCACCGGGCAAATGCCGGGTACGCCCGATTACCAGTCCATGTCTGCTTTGGACCAGAGTCTTTGAAAAAGAAGCTGATTGGTCAGTCACTTCATTTGGATGTGATTATACTTATTTCAGATAATAAAGTAAAAAATCTGGTGTTATTTGGTGTTATTTTGGATCAGGACCTGTCATTTAAATTCCATATCAAAGAGGTTTCTAGAATTTCCTTCTTTCTTCTGCAGAATATTGCAAAATTAGAAATACCCTGTCCAGGGGTAATTTATGTTTGACTGTATGATCTGGTGAACTGTAAAATGCCTTGTGATGACATTTGTTGTGAATTGGCGCTATAAAAATAAACTGAATTGAATTGAATTTACTCAGCTCCCTCTTCACCACAAAAGTCCAATACAGCGACTGCATCACTGCCAACGCAGCGATCCGTCTATCCATCTAATGCTCGATGTGTAGAGAATCCATAAGGTAAAAAAAATTTGATTAAAAATTATAGAATTTATAAGATTAATTTAAAACTATTAATATGTTTTTTTATTGTTTGCAAGGTTTTCACAATGTTGATACTACTGCTGATGTTATTGCTGCATTCATCTTTCATTGAAACAAATTAATAAAGATTATGGAAAAAGTTCAACCCTTCTACTTTCTTCTTAATCATGTCAAGTTGGATCAGCATTGATATATGAGGACTTGACCAGATGCCTTCCCTAATTACCAATATAAGCCTCAGAGGTTTATACCAGCTGCAGTAGTAACATAGGCTTTAAAAAGTAGACCTTTAAGGGAAAGAATAAGCAGTTTAGGAGTAATCATCAACAGCATTATGTGTTAAAAAAAAAAAGTTTTTATTCCGGTTGTTCATTATAATCTAACAGGGAAATATTGTACACAAATCAAAGCTTTAAGTAAATGTTTTAGTCTAAAAAAATGATTTCAACGATTCTTAATTGTTATAATTATATTGTCTGTTTTAGTATTCTTGAGGAATCTTTGTTTTCCCTTATGAGTCTCAAATGCTATGTTTTCTGTGAAAGTTTTACACTGCCACCAGGGGCATTTCACAAAGCAACTTTAACAAACTGCTATTCAAATCTGCAACACCAAATTAATCTAGCCTATATTCGGGAACTCTGAGTTTTTGGTTTCACAACGGCTGCCATAAATTTTTTCAATCAACTCCAAGTAGTTCTACTCGGAGTTGAGCACATACGTAACACGTATGAAAAGTCGAGCCCCGATTGAATGAGTCACCATGAAAACAAGCAACAAGAAGTGCCAGTTTCACACCACTGGAAAATGTATGTTTAAAAGACAGAGAAACAGTGCTACAGCTGCAAAGCAGAATATTGTTGATCGAGTTACTGCAGAAGCTAAAAGAAGTCCTCTACTTCAGGCTGTTTTGAGATTTATTAGAAGCCCTCAATGTTGTTCCATTTGTAGATCACTAAAATAAGACTATTCCTGATCAAAATCACATCCTTAAACTGAACTGTAATAATATATATAAGTACTTATTAAAAATAATAATTGCCACATGAACTGAATTTCAGAGAGCAAAAAAGAAAACAAAATTAAAATATACCGTTAAGAATTCAGTTTTATATAACTAGAAATGTTTACACATCTTAAGTGGAAATTTTGACATTTGCTTGACTGAATGTGTATTCATGATTTCTGCAATACATTTCATCATAGTCAAAATAATACAAATGAAGACCAGTAACAATAGGAATATGTAGAATAATATAATTTCCTAGAAATCTAGAATATTAATTCTAGATGTGAACAATGTCATTTTTTAATGGTCATTTTGTCAAAGAAAAAATGTTTTTTTTTTCAGATATCAGGTATACATATTCAATAAAACTAATTCATATCAAAACGGCTTTCCCTAGCCTGTTGTGACTACATAAGATAACATAATGGGTTTATTCATAGAATGGTAGTGAATCAATGTATCTATTTACGTGAAATCATTTGGCAGCTGAAGATGAAGTCTAAAAAATGTGTTCTAATTGATAGTAGCTGTTTATTATCTCATGGGATTCCTCTTGAGTTGCTTTACATTACACAGTAAATGCTAAGTGGCTTTTTGCAGCCACAAGAAATAAATCTCATATCCTGTCAACTGAGTTGTAGAATCCTCTCCCTATTGAATTCTTGGTGAAAAATGTTGATCATTCTTTAGTAAGATCCTCATCCAAAGGACATGTAATGTTTGTTTTTAATGCCTAATTTGTCTAACAGATCTACTGAATGGTTTTTTTGTGCACAAAAATCTGAGTCAATCAGGAAATAAATGTGATTGGCTCTAAGGAGAGCAAAGACAGATCACACTCCAAGTTTAGAACAAACCTGCTCCAGATCAGGTTAGCTCTGGGGAAAATGTCACTATGGTGACTCAGACAGAGATTCAGTAAACTCTCTTTGTCAACTGGAAATCTCAGAGTTTCCCTGATTTCAGGTATAGAAAACTTAGGTTGTGTCCAAACGTCCGCCCTAACCCCTAACCCCTCAATCACTACATAGAGTGGAGACTTTATAGTGAACTCAGTTAACTGACCTTTGGAAAGATGATAACTACTTTCTGGTCCTCTTTGGTCACGTAACTCCGCCTCCCCGCATGGCACTGGCGCTACCTTTGTTCTTTATTCCCGCCAGTACAAATTCCATTAAGCTTTGCAAGGAAAACTTTCGCAAAGCATTCCATGATATATCCACTCGTTCAGTGACCATGGATGATCACTAATTTTCAAGGTGCATTATGGGAAATTTCGAGTCCAATACTTATACATCCACTAGACATTGGGAATCTCATCTAAAATGGCGTAACCACTATATAGTGCCCTATATAGTAACTAGGGAAGACGTTCAGACACAGTTTTAGAGTTTTCAGTAAACCAGCTTCCTCAAAGGGACCAAAGTTATCTACCTGTTTAACTCATATTTTCAGTTTGTCTGATTAAAATATACCGTAGTGTATCGCCATCTACTGGTGAGTGGGTAAAAAACATTCCTCTAACAGGATGAAATTAGATTACATTAAGTTTATAGGAATAGATAGGATAAATATTCTCAACGGTAAAACAGCAGGACAGCAGACTCAGTCATTTCCTTAGAGGCACTCCAGCCTTGTGTTGCTCCAAGTCCATTCCAGTCAAATGCTGTAAAATCTCCACACTGTCTGTAGGATTCAGGAAAAAACCCTCCTCCTCCTATGCAATACTGGACAAACAAACAGAATTGTTATACAATTATCATCTGATAAACAGACATATTGAAGTCATCCAGACTTACACATTCACAGTTGCACCCTGTGGGTTTGACCCCAGAGCAGATCGCTGTGGCTGCTCTTCTATTGTTTATGGCTCTGAAAGTGATGAAGCCTGGATCAAACTGATCTTGTTTTGTTGAACATAGGAAAAAATACAACAGTTAAGTGTTGTTATTCAGTTACGGTAAATGGCAAAATAGAACAAATATGTAAACATTTTGTTCTATTTACTTCTTGAATTTGTTCCATATAAATATCTAGTGGACTCCGTGTCTCCATGGTCATACACAATTCGAACTGCTGGTCCTCTATTGGAGCAGGACCCGATGTTGTACTTTACTGGAAAGTGCTGTAAGAATGTGACAGTTTGTCATTAATGCATTTAGACCATAGATCTGTGTAAGGATTCTTAATGTATTTTCATTTACAATCAGGCCCAATGTTTTATTTGTTTTACCTGACCTTGAACAAGTTAAAGAGATTTCCCCCATAAAGACGAAGGAAGTTGTTTTCAGTGTGGTAGCGGAGAATAGCTGCCAGGTTCCAGTGCTCCATTGGGAAGTTGTTGGGAACGTGCCACACAGACATGTCTTGTGCAACAATGTCGTAATATCCTGGATTCTGAAAACAGAAACTGTGTTTATGATTGCAGTTTGGATTATCTTACTGCATAGATCAATGTAAATTACTGCTTTATTTGGAAGAAAAAGGAGCAATGAAAAATGTAATGATCAGGAATGAAAATTTGAAAAGTATTGGATGCGTTTACCCACTTTTACTTCACCAAGCCTTAATTTAATCTAAACAAATCAGACAATTCATAGAATCCACCTGTCTGTAATGTTATCTTACTACATCTCATTCTTTCTTATGTAAGCTTTAATAAATTATGGGGACATTAAAGAACAAAACTTTAACCTGTTTTAACAAAGTTAAACATATGAGATAGAGTGCTCTGGTGAAGAAAGAGCTTACTTTTTGGCGTCATGTACAATTCTATGCATTATGGAAAACTAATAATGTAACCCATACAGAGAACCATTGTGGGGGCAGTATCATGCTATGGGGAGCCGAGCCATGCATACCCATCACATAGAATGGCACAGTTAGAGTCAGTGTTGTTTTCGTCAAGGATGACGATGATGAAATCATTTCGTTGACGCTCCTTTTTTCCATGAGGATAACAAAAACTGATGAGCGAAACATGGATCTTTGATGACTAAAACATGACTGGTCATAGGTTTGTTTTTTCCATCATCGAGACGAGACTAAATAAAAAACAGTGGATCGTCGGTCAGATGTTTAAAATGCATCATTGTGCTGTAATCAGCAAAGCAATATCAGCTGTGCTGCTGCGTCCTGTATGATCCTGCCGCGCAGCATTGCACATGCTGCAGGAGCACAGATGGATCGTGGCAGCAGGGGCAGGGTCTTAGAACCCGCAGTAAATCGGTACTGCAAGCTCACGCTGACAAATTCTGCTCCCATCTGTGCTTATGCAGAATTATCTTTGCACACGGAGCTCCGAGTCTGCGCTTCATGCAGTTTGGCTCTTCCATCCCTACGTAATAAACTTTATGTGGCTGATCATCCTCTGCCAAGCGTAAAAAAAACCTTTGTCTAACGATCAAGATTTTACTTCTTCCAGCTCACAAGAGGTGATGCTAAACCTTCTTTAATTTCTACAAAAAGGAATCCCTAAATTATATCAAATGAAATATTTCATTGAATTCTGTTTATTTTTAGATAAAGAGCCAAATGAAAAGGTACATAGATCTTTGAATATTTCTGTTGGGAGCTGGACAAAATCCCATCTTTCTCCAGCAGAGTCCGCCGTGGATCCTCTGAGGGAGCCTCCTGCACAGCTGCAGCTCATCAAGACCATCAGAGGATCCACTACATAAGCTGTCTTCAGACCTTGCCTCAACGCCGCAGTGTTGTTCCAGTTGGTCAGCGCTAAAGCCTCGTTCTCAGTGATTATCTCCATGACTCTAATCCCTAGTTGGATGCTAACCTCTGTTTCTGTGCCTCTAGGAAACTCGTGCTTCCTCCGTGAAAGCTCTGGAAGAGCTAACCTGCCAAGCCGACCCTCAGAGCCAAACCCTGAAGATTCTCAGACAACCTCCAAGCAGCTCTGGGCTAGAGCTGGGAAACCAAGGCCAAGGTCTGCTCAAACTAGACGTGAGACGCTGGAGCAGCTAACGGACTCTGCTACTAAATCCTTCTCCAGAACCAACAGTGACTCTCCCAAAGAGAACCTCAAGAACCCTCAAGGTACTATCTGTGCATCATTGGAAACCAAACCCCGTCAACAGTCCTTAACTGTGCTGTCTCTCACGCAGACTCCGGTGAAACCAGAATCCAGGCCCGAACCAGCCTTCTGCATATTCAGTGTGATTGTGCAAATAAACTTGTTAAACTTTTCATCCTGTGTCCGTCAGTGGTGTTCTGCATCTTTGGGTCTCCATTAGAGAACCGATCATGACAGAACACTGCGGCCAAACTCAAGGCCCAGCAGATCACCATCTCCGTCGACTAGAAGAACAGGCTGCTCAAATCCAAGGATTCAGCCTGGCTTTACGTGAGTTAAACGCCCATATTGAAAAACAGAACCAAGCTATTCAAGGCTACGTTAACTACTTCAATGGCGCTAATGCTACATCCGCACAGCAACCATTTCCGGGTCCAGTTCCTCCCCCGAGGTCACAACCTGTGACGTCATCAGAGTTCCGTCCTAGTCTCCCAGAAAAATTCTCTGGTAACATGAAAGACTGTAAGGGATTCCTATTCCAGTGCCGGCTGATTTTTCAGAACTCTCCTGGTTGTTTTTCTACAGATCACAAGAAGATAACGTTCATTCTCTCTCAGTTAACAGGAAGAGCTTTAGAATGGGCTCAGGCAAGATTTGCCATCGACGACGGTTTAAATTGCAGTTTTTCTGACTTCATTGCTGAATTTTCCCAGGTCTTTAACCAGGAGACAGACCAAACGATTGATTCCAGAGCTCTTTTCAACCTTAAACAAGGTAATTTTTCAGTGGCAGATTTTTCAATTAACTTCCGGGTAAAAGCGGCAGCTTCCGGATGGAACCAGAGCGCTCTAAAAGGAGCATTTTTCATGGCTTTAAATGAACAAATCAAAGATGAACTTGCTACCCTCGATGAACCAGCCTCCCTCGAAGATTTAATTCGTCTCTCCATCAGATTAGATAACAGAATTCGAGCCAGAAACAACTCTAAGAAACAAGGTAATTTTTCTTCTGCCTCTCATAACATGGCTGTTCTCTCTCCCTCTACAGAGCAGATGCCCACACAGAGATCTAAGCCCCAGTCTCTATCATTGCCTGTTCAGGCCTCTCATTCAGGCGAAAGGGATTATGAGCCTATGCAGGTGGGACACACTAGGCTCTCTCCTGAGGAGAGACAGAGGCGTTTCTTAGGAAAACTTTGTATCTACTGTGGTGAAAGTGGTCACTTTATCGCCTCCTGCCCGGCAAAATCAAAAGCCGGGGCCCGCCAGAGGATATGAGGAGTCTGGCGGGCCATATAAATTCAATTAAATCTCCTCGACTGTTGCTGCCAGCCACCCTTTTCTGTAATAACCAGAGTCTCTCTTTCTCTGCCTTCATCGACTCAGGCTGTGAGCGTAATCTAATCGACTCAGACCTCGTCCAGCAGCTCCAGATTAAAACCGTTCCCCTGTCTCAGCCTCTCAGTGTGTCCGCCATAGACGGAAAGAGACTTCATCGTGTTACCCACCAAACCCAGCCCCTCGAGCTACTTTTGTCAGGTAACCACCGAGAAACTATCACCTTCTTTGTGTTTCCCTCTGCATGTTCCCCCCTGGTCCTCGGATTCGAGTGGTTGGAGAAGCATAACCCTCACATAAATTGGACCAAACGTCTCCTGGAATCATGGTCTACTACGTGCCACGAAACATGCCTTCGTTCTGCTGCCCCGATGGTGGGGCCTCCTAGAGGTGGGGGGGAGATGGACTCTCCTGACCACGACTTAGCCCCCGTCTTCAGTAAGGTCAGTGCGACGTCCCTACCTCCACATAGACCATACGATTGTGCCATAGAACTTTTACCTGGTGCTCCTCTTCCAAGCAGCAGATTGTATAACATTTCCAAACCAGAAAGAGAGACTATGGAGAAATACATCAACGAATCATTGGCTGCTGGGATAATCCGTCCTTCATCCTCTCCCCTGGGCGCCGGTTTCTTCTTCGTGGGCAAGAAGGATGGTTCCCTGAGGCCATGCATTGACTATCGAGGTTTGAACCAGATTACAATTAAAAACAAATACCCACTGCCTCTTCTCGCCTCAGCCTTTGAACCAGTGCAGGGTGCAACTGTCTTTACCAAGCTGGATTTAAGAAACGCTTATCACCTCCTTAGAATACGAGAGGGTGATGAATGGAAGACTGCCTTTAAGACACCCTTGGGCCAATTTGAATACCTGGTGATGCCTTTTGGTCTGACTAACGCTCCAGCCTGTTTCCAAGCCCTTGTTAATGATGTTCTCAGAGATTTCCTCAACGTGTTTGTGTTTGTTTACATTGATGACATTCTCATTTATTCCAAGGATCTCCATGAACACAAGAGACATGTCCGTCTCGTTCTACAGAGACTACTGGAGAATAAGCTGTTCGTGAAAGCCGAGAAATACGAATTTCATCAGTCTTCAGTCACCTTTCTGGGGTTTGTGCTCGAGGGCGGCCAGGTAAAACCTTCTGAGAATAAGATCAAGGCAGTCCTAGATTGGCCAGTTCCAGAGAATCGAAAGCAACTACAGAGGTTTTTAGGTTTTGCTAACTTCTATCGTCGGTTCATAAGGAACTATAGCCAAACCGCCCTTCCATTAACCTCACTAACGTCGTCTAAACGAACTTTTCAGTGGACCCCCGAGGCCCAAGCTGCATTCGAGAAATTAAAATCCATGTTTTCCAGAGCACCTGTACTAATTCAACCTGATCCTGCAAAACAATTCATCCTTGAGGTGGACGCCTCAGATTCCGTTGTTGGAGCTGTTCTTTCTCAGAAACTCGATTCAGATCAAAGAATACACCCTTGTGCCTTTTTTTTCCCGTAAGCTCTCCTCAGCTGAACAAAACTATGATGTGGGTGATCGTGAGCTCCTGGCAATCAAACTGGCGTTGGAAGAATGGAGGCATTGGCTGGAGGGGGCTGAACATCCGGTCCTTGTGTGGACTGACCACAAAAATCTGGCTCACATCCAGTCAACCAAACAGGCTAACCCTCGCCAATCCAGGTGGTCTATCTTTTTCTCTCGATTTAATCTTATTATCACCTACAGACCTGGATCCAAGAACGTGAAGCCCGATTCTCTCTCTCGTCTCTACTCCGTCGATCATCCTGAGACACCTGAACCTGTTCTCCCAGCCTCATGCACCGTAGGAGTGGTCAACTGGGAAATAACGGACCTAATCAACTCAGCCCTGGCCACCGAACCAGATCCAGGTACCGGTCCGTCTAATCGCACATATGTCCCTTCTTCTGTCAGGTCCCGTCTGATCCAGTGGATGCATGCCGCAAAATTCTCTGCTCATCCAGGAGTGAGTAGGACTGTCGCTCTCATCTCCAGGCGCTTCTGGTGGCCTACGCTCCATCGAGACGTAAAAGAGTATGTGTTGGCCTGTCCCACATGTGCTCGTAACAAGGCCTCACATCAACCACCTTCTGGTCTCCTTCAACCACTACCTGTTCCCTCGCGTCCATGGTCCCACATAGCCATTGATTTCGTCACCGGTCTCCCTGTCTCCCGAGGTATGTCCACCATACTGACCATTGTCGACCGTTTCTCTAAATCTTGCCATCTAGTTCCCCTGAGAAAACTTCCCACGGCCTTCCAGACAGCCCAGCTTCTAATTAAACATGTTTTCCAGCTTCATGGCATCCCCCAGGAGATTCTATCGGACAGAGGTCCCCAATTCATATCCCAGGTATGGAAGGCTTTTTGTTCTGCTCTCGGCTGCAAACCATCTCTCACCTCAGGTTACCATCCTCAAACGAATGGCCAGACCGAGCGTATGAACCAGCATCTGGAATCCACCCTCCGCTGTCTAACATCAAATAACCCGGTGGATTGGAGCCAATACCTCCCATGGATAGAATATGCCCACAACTCTCTCCGTTCCGCATCCACTGGACAGTCTCCATTCCAGGTCAGTCTCGGATATCAACCACCTCTTTTCCCCGCAGATGAGAGAGAGATATCGGTGCTGTCCGTGAACCAACACATCCGCCGCTGTCGGAGGATTTGGAGGGAGACCATCACCACACTCAACCAGTCATCTGAGTCAGTCAAGCGTTTCGCTGACGCCAAGAGACGCCCCGCCCCTGAGTATTCTGTGGGCCAGGAAGTGTGGCTTTCCACTCGAGACATCCCCCTCAAGAGGATGTCTCGAAAACTTTCCCCGAGATTCATAGGTCCCTTCAAGATTTCTCGTGTTATCATCCCATCAGCTGTCCATCTCCAACTTCCTCCTTCCCTCCGAATCCATCCGACCTTCCACGTCTCCCAGATCAAGCCTGTTTCCTCGAGCCCTCTGTGCCCGCCATCCGACTCCCCACCACCCGCCCTGGAAGTCGATGGCCATCCGGCCTTCACGGTCCGCCGCATTGTAGACTCCCGTCGACGAGGTCGCGGATGGCAGTACCTCGTCGACTGGGAGGGCTACGGACCGGAGGATCGTCAGTGGGTCCCTGGCTCGTACATCCTCGACCCTGCTCTCATCGAGGAGTACGAGCGTTCCTGTCCTTCCACTTCCTCCGGACCGCCAAGGGGCGGTCGTTGAGGGGGGGGTACTGTTGGGAGCTGGAGAAAATCCCATCTTTCTCCAGCAGAGTCCGCCGTGGATCCTCTGAGGGAGCCTCCTGCACAGCTGCAGCTCATCAAGATCATCAGAGGATCCACTACATAAGCTGTCTTCAGACCTTGCCTCAACGCCGCAGTGTTGTTCCAGTTGGTCAGCGCTAAAGCCTCGATCTCAGTGATTACCTCCATGACTCTAATCCCTAGTTGGATGCTAACCTCTGTTTCTGTGCCTCTAGGAAACTCGTGCTTCCTCCGTGAAAGCTCTGGAAGAGCTAACCTGCCGAGCCGATCCTCAGAGCCAAACCCTGAAGATTCTCAGACAACCTCCAAGCAGCTCTGGGCTAGAGCTGGGAAACCAAGGCCAAGGTCTGCTCAAACTAGACGTGAGACGCTGGAGCAGCTAACGGACTCTGCTACTAAATCCTTCTCCAGAACCAACAGTGACTCTCCCAAAGAGAACCTCAAGAACCCTCAAGGTACTATCTGTGCATCATTGGAAACCAAACCCCGTCAACAGTCCTTAACTGTGCTGTCTCTCACGCAGACTCCGGTGAAACCAGAATCCAGGCCCGAACCAGCCTTCTGCATATTCAGTGTGATTGTGCAAATAAACTTGTTAAACTTTTCATCCTGTGTCCGTCAGTGGTGTTCTGCATCTTTGGGTCTCCATTAGAGAACCGATCATGACAATTTCTCTCTCATTGTTTTCATTTCTATTTATTTAAATAAGATGTAAATCTTTCCTTGTATTGTCATTAAAACATTTTCTATGTTTCTTTTTAATATGTAAACATTTTAGTTAACATATTCATTCAGTTTAGGTCTGGATTGCCGTGGCATTACAAGGCAATTATGTAGGTTCTGTCTGTTTTTTATAAATCAAAACCGTGTGAATTTAAATCTGCTTTGACCCCTAAGCAGCAGTAAGCAAGTGGTAGATTCTCAGAAATAAAGCCAAAATTGCCAAAGTAGAGAGAAGAATGCTTTTGTTATTTGCTTTTTTTGCAAAAATGAAGATTGTATTGATCTATGTGTAATGCATAATTCATAGTAGATCAGGAAGTGATTGCTTTGGGATGGAATTCTTGTATGTCTAAAACCATTCCTTTATTGTACGTTTTGTTAGCTTGTCTGTCTACTAAATTAACCAATATTATGTGTTGAAATAGATCAGCTATTTTCACAGCTTTGTGAGACACTTTTTTTTTATAGAGGAGAGCCTTCATTCATAAAAAAAGTTTATTTGAATTCCATAAATCAAAGTTTTCTGCCCAACAGCAATGATGAATTGCATGGCAGCATTCTATACCCAGCTATTGTAGTATCTATGCTAGAGCTGTCAGTCTGGTAAATGTGGTTGTTACTCCAAATTGTAAAGGTTCACTTTCTTTGCAACAAAAAAATGACTAAAACTAGACAAAAACCTTTTTAAGTTTTAGTCAACTAAAACCAACTAAAACTATCACATATTGTAATGATTAAAATGTGACTAAGACTAATATTAGATTTCGTCCTGAAGACTAAGACAAAATCTAAGATTGCTGTGAAAAACAACACTGATTAGAGTCTACTTTTGAAGAGAGCTTTAGAGACAGTCTCCTTTCAAAGAGACTGTTTAAAGCAATTCATTAAAATTTTCTGATTCAGGCACAATGTACAACACACTTTTAAGATTTTTTTTATTTTTTCCTTCTAGTTCAAAAATATCTATTGCTATGTGTTGTGATGACTGTCATATATTTTTTATTATCTTGTGTTTAATTCTTGTAATGCCAGGTGGGGGCTTTTTAATAGCCACAAGAGTCCATTAAAACATTATAGGGTAATCTAACTCAGGTCAGATTTTACAAAAATCACACTTACTGTGACTGTCCGCACCAAATGAGAGACCAGATTATGATGAATATATCAAACATGCTTTCCAAGGTACCTGTTTTCCAGTTTGACCTGCATACCTTGTAATCATCAGACGTGGCGCTCTCTACTAGACCAAAGGTGTTTCTGTTGGACCAGTTTCCATCACCATCTGGCAGGTTTGGATCGTTTCCCTGCTGACTCGACCATCGATCCCCCACACTGCATTTTCCAATAATGCTGTTTTCATGAACACTGGCCACCAGAGTCCAGCCACCTCCAGGAGTGTTCATGTCACAGAAAGTCTGATACTTCATCCCATTATTAGTGGTCAGGTAGTATATCCCATCTGTAGACATTTCAATAAATTAGACCCAATGACTCATGAATACAGAGATTTTCTTATTTGTGGCTTTGGCCTACTGCCTGTAGTAGAGATATGCTTTGGAAATTACTGAATCCTAAATTAACTAAATCTATTTATTCCATTTGGGTGCATGAAAATATTGATTTGTTTAAAGTTCTGTATAGAACAACATCTTATCACATAAAGCATGCCTACCTTCTCGTTCACCATATTTATCCAGGATTTCTTTACAGCTCCGGGCAACGAATTTGAATCTGTCACTCACTGTCCGCAACTGTTCAAAATTTGTCTGGGTGATGATCCTCTTTGAAGTCAGTCTCATTTTTTCCTGAAAATACAGTCAGTTTTCAAAAGACATACAGGAAAACATGCAAGAGGAAATGTTATATACCTGAAAGCAAAATTTACCTTCTAGCGGGAAGACATCAGCAAAGGATGCATGCCCGAAGATCAGAAAAAACCCCAAAAACACAGGTATATGGCTAAGCATGTCTGTAAAGCAGAGTTATGTAATGTTTCAGAAAAGCCACCTTTATTTTTAACTATCTAGATGAACATATTAGTTTTATCTTCAAACTGGAAAGCAGGAAAATAGTTATATTTTTGACGCCATGATGAATATTTCTTATTCATATCTACTAGAAAACCACTTACTTCTTAACTTACTTCTCAGCCTGAGATGGGTTTTTTTTGTCCTAAGATGTCTTGAATATATATGGGTGTTTATATGTACAATCATTAACTTTTGTACAATGATTACTGAGCTTTATACAATAGCCCTTTTACCTGTTATCTGGCAGCAGTTGCTAAAGTTATAAACAGACCAGGAATCTATTTTGACTAAGTATGTCAAGTGTCTTTTATTATCTTGTTTTATCTTTGTATTTTTTATCTTTGTCTCAAACTCTTTTCCTACATTACTTTCACTACCTACCACAAATAGTTACGCAAGGGATGAGTGCACTAACATTGGAAAATTTCCCACAAAATAATAATGTATGGTTAATAATATCAGCCAAGTATAATCTTTTAAAACTAATAAAATTACCAAGTATGTTTTTTAATAATCAGCTTCACAGAAAAAGACAGCAGAGTGCAGCAGCATCAATTATAACAGCCAGCAAGCCTAATATATGTAGTAAATACAAGTGTGACAGATTATATCTATTTCTTTACCCACCTCCCCCAAAAATATAATTTTCAGACCACTTAAGAACTGTTTTCAGTCCTAGGATATCTAAAATCCATATGTGTGATTTTTTTCATTATCATTATTTAATTCGCAAATAATTTATTGATCTCAAATGACAGTTAAAAATGTATGTAACACATGCTGTCAATGAGTTGTTGCATATGTTACGATAATTATTTTATCCTGATGAAGATGCTCAGTCATCCAGGTCACAGTCATTCCATAAAAGTTTAAAAAAAAATCCACTGGACTTGGTTTCCAAGATTTGAAGACATTTCGCCACCTCTCCAGGAAGCTTTCTCAATTCAATGTCTGGATCCGCAGTGAGTTTGAGTCTTATCTAGACAAGATGTCTATGTAAGACTCAAACTCACTGATTCGCCTACATGTTATGAATGCTGGCGTACCATAAATGATACATTATGAACAGTTTAGTTTGCCTTCAACTCGTTGCCCATAGGAAGACGTTACTTTGATATAACAAAACCGAATATCTTCGGAACAGCACCAAATGACACAAAACTAATATGGGTGAGTAGAACATGATGTAATAATGTAAAATCAAGGGGCCAATATAATAAAAACGGTGTTCCCCTTTGAGGCAACAAAGGCTTTCTGTATGGACTAAATCACCTGTTCAAGAGATGACCTAAAGCAATAAATGATGGTATCATCAGCATAACAATGCATAGTAGCATCAGAGGATTTTTTTCAACATTGTTGATGTACAAGATAAATAAGAGGGAGGCCAGTGAGTTTGAGTCTTTATATAGACAAGATGTCTATGTGAGACTCAAACTCACTGCGGATCCAGACATTGAATTGAGAAAGCTTCCTGGAGAGGTGGCAAAACGTCTTCAAATCTTGGAAACCAAGTCCAGTGGATTTGTTTTTTACTTCTACGAAATGATAATTCTTTTAGTTTCTAACGGGCTTTATTGTCATTTTTTTCCCTAAAACAGACAAAAAGGTAATGGGATTAGAGAGAGGCGGAAGATATGCAGCAATGGTCACTTGGCAGGGATTCCAACCTGTAATGGCGGGTTTTAGGACTAGGCCTCTGCACATGGGGGAGTGTCCTTAACCCCTGCACCACCACTGCATGTGAGTTGTTTTATTTGTCAATAGCTGTAGGCAGGGATGATATTCAGTAGCAGTTTCTCTTGCAGCAGATCTGGTGAAGCCTTTGAATGAATCAAGTCTTCTAAGGTGGATTGTTTTTGTAAACAGAGATGGGTAGGGTATTCATGACATAGATTACAGACATGTCTTGAAGATAAAAAAAAAAAACCTGGATGACTTAACTTTCTGCTCCTGAATGCAGACAAAACAGAAGTTATAGTCTTTGGACCAGAGTCTTTGAAAAATAAGTTGATTATTCAGTCACTTCATTTGGATGGGATTAAACTGATCTCAGATAATAAAATGTTGGTGTTATTTTTGATCAGGACCTGTCATTTAAATCCCATATCAAAGAGGTTTTTAGAATGTCCTTCTTTCATCTGTGCAATATTGCAAAAATTAGAAATCTCCTGTCCAGGGGTGATGCTGAGAAACTAGTCAATGCATTTGTTACTTCAAGGTTGGACTATTGTAATTCTTTACTATCAGGAAGTCCACAAACTTTAGCTGATCCAAAATGCTGCAGCCAGAGTTCTGATGAAAATGAAAGAGAGGTCATATCTCTCCTATCCTGGCTTCTCTTCATTGGCTTCCTGTTATATCCAGAATAGAATTTAAAATCCTCCTTCTCACATATAAAGCCTTAAATGGCCAAGCTCCATCTTATATCAGAGATCTGATTGTTCCTTATGTTCCTAACAGAGCACTTTGCTCTCAATCTGCAGGTTTCCTAGTAGTTCCTAGAATTTCTAAAAGTAGAATGGGAGGCAGATCTTTTAGTTATCAGGCTCCTCTCCTGTGGAACCAACCACCAGCTTTAGTCTGTGAGGCAAAGCTGCAAGAAACCACCTCTGCTTCAGTCTTTGCATTTGGCTCTGCTAAAAAAAACCCACACAACCTGACTTTAAGTAAACATTTCAGTCAAAAAAGTGATTTTAACAATTTTTTTATTAGGTTTTCATAACATCTTCATTGTGTAATTATGCTGTTGCAATAGAAGCTAAAATTATCAAAAAGATTTGTACACTTCTTCACATACAGTGCCACAAAATGTAGTTAAAAAATTTTATAATGCGAAGCTGTCAAAACATTGAAGAACTGACAAGATGAGTCAGTAGTTTAAGGTAATCTCTAAAATTTCTACAGAGTCCAATCCATATTTACTGTTCATCAGGTTTTTTTTTTGGTTTTTTTTTTAATGCTTGCGGCTGTTCTTACATTTGCTTCTTCATTTATTCTAAGTTTTCTCTTTTTTGATCAGTTCTTTTAGAATAAAAATTTTCAACTTCTGCCAAACATTCATTTGCCTTGCTGTTGAGTGCATTGACTAATTTTCTTAAAATGAACGTAGATATCTTTAAAAATACTTATTTGAAATTATTTTTTAAATATAATTTTTTTTTTTTTCAGAATTAATAAAACGTGTATCAGACTTGTAGATGGAGACTCATTAACCACCTCTAATTTACACTTGTCTGATTTATTCTTATCATGGTTGCTCTCTTGTTGAATAAAACCAGTCTTAAGCTTCTATGTTGATTGACATGGTTTGTTCTTAGTATGCTTTAGGACATTTGAATCCAGCTGTATATATTTGTTTTCATTTACTGTATGAGTGTAAAATACTTTGCGTTCAGCACACGTTTTACACTGCTAACAGTTTAACTACCTGTTTAAGCCTAACTTTCAGTTGGAGAATTGAAATACACAATAGTGTAATGCCATCTACTGGTGAGGGGTCTAAAAACATTCCTTTAAGTCTAAGGGGATGAAATTAGACTAGATTCATCTTATAGGATAGATATTCTCAGCGGTAAAACAGCAAGACGGCAGACTCAGTCATTTCCTTAGAGGCGCTCCAGCCTTGCTCCTTTCCAAGTCTGTCCCAGTCAAATGATGGAAAATCTCCACACTGTTCGGGGTGAAAATATCCTCCTCCTCCTATACAATACTGAACACACAAACAGAATTGTTATAGCTTTTATCATCTGATGACCAGACATATTTAAACCATCCAGACTTACATGTTCACAATGGCACCCTCTGGGTTTGACCCCAGAGCAGATCGCCATGGCTGCTCTTTCATAATTTATTGCTCTGAAAGTGATGAAGCCTGGATCAAACTCATCTTTTTTGTTGAAGAGAGGAAAAAATACAACAGTTAAAGTGTTGTACTTCAATTATGGTAAATGGTAAAAAATAAAAAGAAAATAAAAAAACTTACTTCTAGGACCTGGTCCATACAAATTTTTGGTGGACTCTGTGTCTCCATGGTCGTACACAATGGGAACTGCTGGTCCTCTATTGGAGCAGGACCCAATGTTGTACCTTACAGGAAATTGCTGCAGAAATGTGACATTTTTTCATGAATACATTTAGACCAATAGGTATATATAAGAATTTTTGAAGTAATCTATTTTCTTTTAAAACCAGGTCCACTGTTTTAGTTTTGATGACTAACCTTAAATAGGTTAAAGAGGTTTCCCCCATAAAGACGAAGGAAGTTGTTTTCAGTGTGGTAGCGGAGAATGGCTGCCAGGTTCCAGTGCTCCATTGGGAAGTTGTTGGGAACGTGCCACACAGACATGTCTTGTGTAACAATATCATAATATCCTGGATTCTGAAAACAGAAACTGTGTTTATGATAATGGTTTGGATTATTTTACTGGATAGAACATAGATTACCGCTTTATTGGGATGAGTAGGAACAACAAAAAAGCTTCAGGACTCAGGAATTTAACTTTAAGAGTGTGGCTTTTTTTACTCTCTTTTACTCCAGCACCCCTGAATTAAATCTAATCAAATGAGACGGTTTATTAACAGTTTATACAATCCACCTGTCTGTAATGTTATTTCACTATCTATCATTATTTTCTTATGTAAGCTTTAGAGAGTTATGGGAACATTAAAACTCTCACCTGTTTAGCAAAGTTAAACACATGCAACAGAGTGCACTGGTGAGGAAAAAACCTTACTTTTTGGTATCATGTACAGTTCTATGCATTACAGAAAGCTAACACTGTAATCCATGCAGGGAATCATTGTGGTGGCAGTATCATGCTATGGGGATCCATGCATACCCATCAGAACAATGGCACAGTTAGAGTCCAGTTTTAAAACGAGTTGTTTAGAGAGACCCTCCATTCAAAGAGACTGTTTAAAGCAATTCTTTAAAAACTCCAGGATGGCAAAAGGTACAAAACACATAAGATTTTTTATTTTTCCCTCTAGTTCAAAAACATGCATCGCTGTGCTTGGCTGACTATCATATTTTCACTTTATCATCTAATGTTTATTATTATTATTTAAGTGCCTTTTTGGTGAATTTTAATGGTTACAAGTGTGCTAACATTACAGAATGTAACTCAGGTCAGATTTGGAAAAAATCCCACTCACTGTGACAATCACCACCTAACGAACGACCAGATTATGTTGAATATATCAAACATGCTTTCCAAGGTACCTGTTTTCCAGTTCGTCCTGCATACCTTGTAATCATCAGACGTGGCGCTCTCTACTAGACCAAAGGTGTTTCTGTTGGACCAGTTTCCATCACCATCTGGCAGGTTTGGATTGTTTCCCTGCTGACTCGACCATCGATCCCCCACACTACATCTTCCATAAATGCTGTTTTCATGAACACTGGCCACCAGAGTCCAGCCACCTCCAGCAGTGTTCATGTCACAGAACGTCTGATACTTCATCCCATTATTAGTGGTCAGGTAGTATATCCCATCTGGAGACATTTCACTAAATTAGACCCAATGACTCATGATTACAGAGATTTTCTTATTTGTTGCTTTGGCTTACAGCCTGTACTACAGATATGCTTTGGAAATTACTGAATCCTAAATTAACTAAATCTATTTATTACATTTGGGTGCATGAAAATATCGATTTGTTTAAAGTTCTGTACAGAAAAACATCTCATAATGTAAAGCATGCCTACCTTCTCGTTCACCATATTTATCCAGGATTTCTTTACAGCTCCGGCCAATGAATTTGAATCTGTCACTCACTGTCCGCAACTGTTCAAAATTTGTCTGAGTGATGATTTCAAAGTCTGCTTTGAAGTCAGTCTCATTTTCTCCTGGAAATACAATCAGATTTAAAAAGAAATACAGAAAAACATGCAAGAGAAAATATATATCTGAAAGCAGAGTTTACCTCCTGGTGGTAAGACATCAGCAAGGGATGCATGCCCCAAGATAAGAAAGATCCCCCAAAACAGTAGTATATGGCTAAGCATGTCTGTAAAGCAAAGTTATTTAAGGGTTCAGAAATGCCACCTTTATTTTTAACAATCTAGATTAAAATAATAGTTACATTTTGAAACTTGACAGCAGGCTGTTAGTTATATTAAATCTAAGTTTAAAGAGTTATACCGATTTCCTTATTGATTCCCATAGATATCCACTGATACTTACTTCTCAGTCTGCTGAAGAAATGTTTCCCTCAGTCCTAAGAAATTTCCAACAAATATGGGTGATTATATGTAGAATCATTAACTTTTTACTGTGGGTACTATAAGAGCTTTGATGAATAGCTCTTTTACTTCCGTTTTCTGGCAGCAGTTTTTAAAGTAATAATCAGACGAGGAAATTATTTTGACTTAGTATGTCAGTGTGTCTTCTGTTATCTTTTTTTTCCTCAAAGTATTTTCCTGGTTCATTCAATGGTGTCTCTACTTTTTTCCTACATTATTTTCAGTACCTACTTAAAATTGTTACATCACAAACAAGGGATGCCTGCACTGAGATAAAAAAGAAATGTACACAAAACACAATGTATGATTGATAATATCAACCAAGTATAATCTTTTTAAGCAAATAAAATATGTAAGAATGTTTTTGAATATTCGTTTTCACTGAAAAGCATGGCAAAGTGCAGCAGCATTAATTGCAAAAGTTAGCAAGTCTAAGATACATAGTAAAAACAAGTGTGAGGAAATATAATGCTTTCTTTATCCACCTCTCCCCAAAAACCACTGAAGCTTTATGTTCAGACTACTTAAAAACTGTTGTCTGTACGAGGACATCTAAAATACATACGGGTGATTATTTTTATATTTCATTGATCACAAAGGACAGTTAAATGTTTATGTAACTCATATTTTCAGTTAGTTGTTGTATATGTTAACATTTTTTTTACGTTCTAGAGGCATTTACTTTTTTATTTTTTTTTTTAATAGACAGTGGAAATAGAATTAGAGAGAGGGGTGAAGACATGCAGCAAAGGCAGCTAAGCAGGGACTCCAACCTGTGATGGCCGCATTAGCTGCTCTGAACAGCATTCCAGGACTCTGGGGCTGACACCATTTGTACCTGGTGGTCGTGTTTCAGTCTCTCTAGTTGCACCTTTACCTGACTTCTAGAGACAGATGGAAACATTTGAGGTGTGAGAGAAAAGCTTTAGGTCAAAGGAGGGCAGAATATTTGTTTGACTCTAGGCAGGAGAAAGGGATGCTGAGCTTGTTCCTGAACTGAACCTATTGAAAAATTTCAGTTCATTGGTTCTGTCCAGACTTCTCCTGAAGCTTGGTATGTGGCTTCCATCTTTATGCCACCTTGCTTTTTCTTATATTGATTTTTGTTTTTGCTCAGTTTATGGTTAATAATTATCAATCACATTTACAAGTTAAAAAAATGTTAAAAAGTTGTTGTACTTTAACAAGACCAAGGTTCACAACTGGTTTGAATACCCACATTTGTTGGTAAATTGAAATCGTTAGTTTATTATTCAGATATAATTATAAAAGTCTGGTAGCCCTTAATCACTATTATCTGGTGTACATAAAATATCTATTTTTCGTGGACAATTTTTGATTAAAATTATACATTATTATTAGTTTCTTCCCACTATAATTAGGAATACATATTCATAATCAAAAAGGAATAATTACACAAGTGTTTTATTGGCATAACACCGCCTTTCAATTAAAACACTGAGTTGAAATAGATTATGGCAACATGTCTAGCTTTGGTGTCTTTGGTCAAGCAATAGGCTCTATGCAAAACTGCGGTAATTCCTGAACTTTAGGCAGCTTCTGTTTCCCGTCTTTCATTACTGATTAATCCAGGTGTGTCTGGCCATGAGTAATGAGGTCAGGCACACCTGGCATAATTATTTCATCCAGTAGAAAAATACGGAAAAGAAAAGAGCTGCCTTAAGTTGAGAAAGTAGTGGAGAGTTCATAGAGCCAATAGAAAGTCAATACTATACTTGAAGAAAAACCTGTTTGTTTCATGCAACTGTTAACACACAGATTGTGTGGCCGACGTGTTCAGCAAAGTGATAAAGCACCCAAATGCACTTGGTTAAATGATGGATTGATAAGTTGGCTAGGTCTCAGACTAAGCAGTCACGTTTCCATAACCTTTATGCTTATTGTTTTATGGAAGTAGAAAACCTTGACCTACATAGCTATTTCAAATTAAACTTACAGTGGAAGGGTTTGGCAGACTTGAGTTGGACCTTTGGCCTCTAATGAGGAAACGTTTTAGGTGAAAATATTGAGTCAGAGATGAGACTGATACCATATCCCTTACAATACCTTAAGTATGCAAATTGTGATTTTGATCAGCAAATTATGCAAATAAAGTGCAATTAGAAAGTGAAAAAGAGGATGAAAGATTTAGCAATTTTTTTTCCAATTTTATTTTGTTTTTTCCTTTGCACAAACCACCAGCTTTTAGATGTTTCATATTTTTTTCAGGTTTCATACTTTTCAAGACCTTAAAAGCTTACCTTTCCATTGTTGTAGGATTGTTATTTTAATGCGGAAAGTTTTTATTTCTACTAGCATGGATTATTCAGTGTGCTAGCTGCAACTCTGTGTTACAGCAAACCTGCTTTAAGAACATTACCGCCACATAATAGGGCTGAATTGAGAAAGTTAGTGTCTTACTCCTTGTTTTAAATGGTTTTAATTATAATGAATGAATGCCCCTGCAATTAAAAACTGTGCCCTGATCATACAGAAAATGTTATTAACTGCCCAACCATAGGGGAAAATAGGACAGAGTCTTTTTAGGACTGATGGAAGAACACATTGAGCAGGGATTGCTTGGTTTAACAAAATAAGAAATCACTTGATCTAAACTCAAACAAATGCATAACTGAGTGAGAACAGCAGTGGCTTTTGCTTTGTAATAAGCATCAAAAATAGAACACTTTATTAGATATAAAAGATGCCAGTCTAAAAGAGCACTTTTTCTCTACCAACCAGAACAATAGCACCATGCAATAAAAAAAAAAGCAATTTTGTTTGAAAGCGTCAGCAACTTGGAATTTGTATCCCTGTGCTATTTATTATTCATTTTATTTTTTTAAGTAAGTCTTCAGGTCAATCTTGCAGTGTAATGTGGGATAGGTGTCAACCCTAAATTCTGGAAGGATTATCAATTGACATGGATGAAACAGCTTCTACAGTTTGCCCCTTTATCACAAAAACTTTAAAGGATTGTTTACAGCTGTTTTATTTATTTGTTTAAGAACCTGATTATGCTCTCTCTGCTTTTTTTTAGAGTAGCTTCACCTCGTCTGTTCCTGTTTGGCTGTGACGTCATCCTGGAAAGAAACATCAGCTGTGCTGCTTCCATCAACACCCTTGTTTATAGATGCTGGAGATCGGCCTGTTTTCCAGTGTAGTCCTGTATCTCTGACCGTGACTGGCTGGATGTGCTCTCTTCCTCCTCTGGCATGGAAGCTGGCTCTGTGCTCGTCGGCCTGGCTGTGTGTTTCCTGGATGGGGCCGCCTTTTGCAACTGCTTTTTATGTCTCTGCTTCTGTCTCCTTGAACCCCAGTCGGCCTCGGCAGATGGCCGCTCACACTGAGCCTGGTTCTGCTGGAGGTTTCTCCCTGTTAAAAGGGAGTTTTTCCTCTCCACTGTTGCTACTAGCATGCTTAGTGTGAGGGATTGTATTTGAGTCAATGAGTCAATGCAATCAACTGGTTTTCCTTAGATAGAAAACTTGACTTCAATTTGACTGTATGATCTGGTTGAACTGCAAAGTGCCTTGAGATGACTTGTGTTGTGAATTGGCGCTATATAAATAAACTGATTGAATTGAATTGAATTGAATTGGTTTGTTGGGTTTTGCTTCAGTTTTGTTTTGATTCAGGTAAAGAACTTTTTGGCATATTCAAGTACCGATGTCATCTTTAATGTACATTTTGCCGACCCTGAAGACAGAGGTGCAAAAGAACTGTTTGATACACTTAAAAGCTTTGGTTTAACAGCATGTTAAACAGCCAACACACAATCAAGGACATATTTTGGATCTGGTCATTAGCAAATGTCTAAATATGTCTAAAGTTTCCCATTTTTCTGTTAACTCTGAAAATTTAAAATGACTTTAAAAAATGTTTTACTGAAAAAAATAAAGGATATTAGAAAAGCAATCTGCACATCAACTCCAACTCCGGTACCAATGCTGTCTCCATTTAAAATAAACTTTAAATTGTCACAATTCTGCCCAATTAACTGCAAAAGTTTAGAAGAAACTGTTCAGCAGCTAAGTTCCTTGTCCTGATGTTGATGTTTTACCCACAGGTTTTATCAAAATGGTTTTTCCCTATTTTTGACTCTGATTTGATTGAAATTGAGAGATTGCATTTGAGTCAATGTAATCAACTGGCTTTCCTTAGATAGAAAACTTTGAATCAATTTGACTGCATGATCTGGTGAACTGTAAAGCGGCTGGAGGTGACATATGTTGTGAATTGGCGCTATATAAATAAACTGAATTTAATTTAAATCAAAAACAGCTCGCTCATGTCAGGTGTTTTTCACCTCAGCCTTAAAAACAGCATTATCAAACTATTGTTGAAAAAAAGAGGCTTGGACATAATGGTCCTTCAGAACTACTGCAGCGGCTTCAGATGTTATCATACCAATAAATGGTTGTTATAAGCTGATATTAGGCTCATAGAATGGCTTCAGATTAAGCCAGTAGGCTCATTAGGTTGTTATCATCGAGTTTTTTTTTTTTTTTTTACAGTGTCGTGTCTGGCAATGTGGCTATAAGAATAATTGCCTTGATGCCAAAATGAGCCGAACAGATTTTACTTTCACAAGTGGAGCAGTACAGCTATCGCAATAGTGTTCCGCTTGATTTATACATATAAATTGCTTTATTATAATTCATGCAGGGAGTTTTAAAGATTATATAGTCCCCCAAAATAGGGGGACTAATCACCTGGACAACAGTGGTAAGAGGAAACAGCGTTTCTGAACTCAGGTAGGTGTAGCGGAAAATCAGTGGGAAAACATTGGGAGAGAGAGCCCCAGAACCAAGAAGAGCTGGCCAGCTATGACCCTCTCTGAAGCTAAGAAACCACAGCGGCAAAGGTGGCAGTTTGCAGTTGCGAGTTTATGAAGAGAGCTTAGGAGCAGAGAGGAGGTTTTGGAACGGCCTGGCGGGAAACAGTGCTAATAGCCCAGAAGAGGCTACAGTTGGCCAAAGTT